GAATTTAATGGTGCGAGGGACTTAAGGTAGTATGACATAACTGACACATCACATAATCCAGCATAATCGATTATGCTTGATTATCCTCAAATTGCCTGATAACGCAGAGAAAGGTTAGTACCTACCATATCAATTGACAAAGAGGACTGTGCCCCCTATAAATCGCTGTACATGTTACGTGTTTCGACGCGTACTATCTCTAGTTACTATGAGGCGCAATAATTATCTTCACGGACCACCCCATAATTGGTATTTAAAACTTACTTTTTTTTCACCCTGTATGAAATCTTCTCAAAACAAAAAAGACGAAAACGTCGAACCAACAATAATGAAGAACATTGTTTCGAGTAGTTGAGACGAAGAATCAGGGTGATGAAAGATTTATTCAAAAACCCTTCAAGTTGTTTTTTACCATTGAACTGCTGATTCTTCTTAAACCCAGAAAAAAATCAGGAGTATGTTTGAAAAGAAATGGCGACGCCCTGAAATTTGTTAAACTTTGCACTGTTTTATTGTCCACCCTGTATGTTGTAGATAATGTCTCTGTTCAGCAGCATGATACCATATACCTTGAACACCAAATAATGCGCCCCAATATGCTTCAAACCGCAATCAAATATCTCTTACACTTTCTGAGATATTTGACTACAAAAATAAGCAAAAAAATTCGTTATGCGTATCGAAGTTCCAGCAGTTTATAAAATGTGTTGCCGTTGACAAAAAAATACCACAAAAAATACCTATTATTTCTATACTTATCAAACTGTTTCATTGTGGGATATTTTGTATGGGTACATGATTTTAGGGGACCAAGTAGGTAATAAGAGGCCACCGGGTTTAATTTTTTTATATTTTATCATCAAAATTAATTTTTGTTGTCCTTTAGGCTGTAGGTAAGTATCTACTTCTTATAAATACCGGAAATAATACTTACATCAAGCCACACAGGCACGCAGAACACAGCCAAACAATCACAAAACCACAAAAGAATTCGAAATGGGAATAATAGAACCAACGATCTAAGGCAGTTTTAACCAAAACCAACGCCAAAACGGAATGTCTCTTCCTCTGAGCTCCGTCTCGCACCACCACACCAATCCAATTTTATCACTTTGTGCGTAAAGAAATAATGCTCTAGTCTCGACTTGTCTATGAATTCTGGGAACATCAACCGGCATTCTTTTGCAAATGGGGGAATAATCGACTTTTGCAAAAAATATTATTTAATACAACAAAATTTTTAGTGGTAGAAACTGATGGTATTGGCTGCTGCTGAAACAATTTTAGTTGCGAGAACCAAAAATTGGCTAGGACAACTCTTATTTGTTAGTTAAAATAATATTTGAAATTTAGCTGCTTTAGCAAGTTTATTATTGGTAATATCAACTCATTTAGGAGTTATTTAAGCATAGCAATGTGTTGCTTTTGGGAAAAAATATACAGCAACTAAATATATTCTTATAGCAACTAATTTTAATGTAACAATTTTTCTTTTTTGAAGGAACTTAATTTTTTTGTTAGAATAACTGAAGAAAAATATGGTTTTGTTTTTTTAACTAAAAATACTTACTTTTGTCAACTTAAACACCTCAGCAAATAAAAATTAGTTGCGTATTCCAATGTATTTTTAAGAGTGTAATAATGAAATAGGCATTAATAATTATAATTAGGTAACGGCCCAATTAAGGACCGATTGAGAAGTGTTTTATCTCTGCAGGACCATCCGTGGACGCGTTTCGCTGTATCACAGCTCATCAGTACGGTTAGGTCCCGCAGAGAGAAAACACAACCCATTTTTGGTTCCGTCCCGGAACTGGGTTTGATACAAGTGAGATGGAGATGGAGATTCTGTCTTCATCTCACTTGTATTAATAAATTGTAGCGTTTGAAAGCTACTTCGTATTTAGTTGTGAATTTTATTTAAAAATGTCTTGGAACAGCAGGTTGTACAGTACCGTTGATGACGTGGCTTAACTGTTGAAATGTATTTTTACCAGACAACCTCTCTCAGTTGTAACCTTGATTTTGCTATTCGCCAAATTTAATATTGTTTTCAGCTGATAATCTTAAACTGTTTATTATTATTATTATTATTATTATTGTTATTTTGTAAGATTATTGTGCAATATTTACAATATTACCGTTTAAGACTATATTTGTGGTTTAATAATGAGATGTAAATAATTTTAAGTTAAGTTAATGTTGTATACAGGCCCTTAGGTTTGTTGCTAAATTCATGCTTCGAATGTCATGTCATTCCTTCCTGTCGTTCTCCAAGCCACTTTTCTGAAGGTGCTCGGACGGTACAGACGTACTGGTCCCTTAAATAATAATTTTATCCCTCATCCCTTCAGAAAGTCAAAATTTTGTCAGTTTCCTCGACTTTCACTTTAAATGAGTGAGGGTTAATTGCTCATAGTGGCCTAGTGCTTGTGGAAATGTTTTTCCCTTGTGTTATCGAGAAAGTTCCGTGACCTCATTTGAGATCATCGCCGATTAAAGTGCATTTGGATGGCCTGGGAGATGCTCTCTATCAATATTTTCGTGGATGAGCCACTTTTTTTGTCTCCAGATCCTTGATTTTCAAGGATCTACCGAGGGGCTCCAACTGTAGTGCCAGTCACCAAAAACCACTACGATTTTATCTACGAGAGTGTGCAGCTCGCAGCCTCCAGCACCTTTTGGCATGTCTTCATGGTGCCTCTTATGAGGGTTCTTTAATTGAACTCACCCTAGCTGGTCATGGATTAAACAGGTTTTTTTTATAATTATAAGGTTAATTTTATGTCTTAAATCCTTGGATTTAATTAATAAATTTTGGTCCTGATCAGGCCTAGCAGTCAAGGGTTATATTGTACTGTTACATTGCACAGGGTTCAATGAACTGTTAGGGAACATTTAAGCTTTTTTTAGATATAAGGATTAGGGAAAATTTCAGCTTTTTAGGTTTAAGAATTTAACGAGGGATATACATTTTTGCACTCAGGCTTTAAAGGTGGATTTATACAGCAAATAACATAACATAAGAATAAGATAAAAATAAGAATAACATTAAATTAAAGAATAAGAATGCATTTATACAAGAAATAAAATAATAATAAGATTAAAAATCGTCCAATAATAACTTTCGGGAGACGCATGCGCAGCTCCTATTTGGAACTGTCAATTGTGTCAACCATATGTTATGTTTATAATTTTTTTAAAATCAATCCTGATAAGAACCGGTGAATTTGTTTTTGTTTGTGGTGTTAGTTTTTACTTTTGTGGTTTAAATTTTGCATTTTGAAAAATGTTGGACGACATTGAGGCTGCTGTTTTACTAATGACCTTTATGACGACTGCAATTCAGTTGAATTTGCTGAGGAAAAAACGAAACAGGAGGTTTCAAGTTAGGCCAATGAACAGAAATAGGACCAATGTTTCTGTTTATGACAAACTTTTGAAATTTGCTAAGCAAAATGACAGTGAACAATTTTTTAAGTATACCAGGATGTCCCCAGAACTATTTGATAAACTTCTTGACCTTATCAGACCATATCTAACAAAAGATCCTTCAAAGTGCCCGATTCCAGCAGAACAAAGATTAGCTGTAACATTACAGTGAGTATAGACGATTTACTAATGTTTATATGTTTTAAATCATAAAAAGCATCTACTAAATCCCTAACAATATTTTTCTTTTTGCAGTTATTTGTCTGAAGGGTGCTCAATGCAAGAAATTGCATGGAACAATTACATTGGATTAACTACAGCTCATTGTATTCTAAAAGAAACATGTAAAGTTCTCTGGGAGACGTTGCAACCTCTAGTACTCGAAACACCATCTAAAGAAAAGTTAAAAACTATTTCAAACGAATTTTATAAGAAATGGAATATGCCAAACTGCATCGGAGCACTAGACGGCAAACATGTGGAAATTCAGTGTCCAAAATATTCTGGATCAACATATTTTTGCTACAAGAAGTCATTTAGGTAGAATAAAAAGAATCATTATAGTATAGTATGCTTAATAATTAATGTTAAAAATTATATTTTCAGCATAGTTTTGATGGCCACATGCGATGCTTATTACAAGTTTACGTATGTGGACATTGGAAGTGCAGGGTCAAATCATGATTGTGATGTATTCAAGGAGTCCAGCTATGGAAAATCTTTAATGGAAGGGACATTACAGTTACCGGAAGCAAAAATTTTGCCAGGAACTGACATCCGGTTTCCCCATTACTTTGTAGCTGATGCTGCATTTCCTCTGCATGAAAATATAATGCGGCCTTATGCAGGAAGCTACCTAAAAGATCATGAAAATATTTTTAATTTGAGGCTTTCAAGAGCAAGACGTTGCATTGAAAATGCATTTGGCATAATGGCCCAGAGATGGAGGAGGTTACGTAGTACTATTATAGCGAATGTAGAAACATGTGAGCTTATTGTACAAGCTATAGTAGTGCTACATAATTTCATTCAAAAGGGCGAAGAAGACATACCCGAATCCCAAAGAAGGTACTGTCCTACAGGATTTGCGGACTCTGATGATATTGATGGAGAGCAAAAAGAAGGCGAATGGAGAACACTTAAAAATAAACTTCGTTCAATTGGACGAACAGGACCAAACAATGCTGCAAAGAGGATCTGGACCCTCTTTGCTCCGAAATACCTTAGCTGAATATTTAATATCCCCATTAGGAGAAATAAAAAATCAATGGAACAGATTATATGCCGGGTCTGTACCTGATAACTTCCATGTTACCTAGTTATTTTGAAACAAATACACGAATAAAATTAAATTTGTTATTTTATTAATTGGAAATAAAACAATATAACAAGTAGCAAGACTTTATTGCGCCCGTAATCAAAAAATTACATGGGCCCCTCACAAACGGCGAAACCCTAAACAAAATCCTACTGAGAAAAAAATAAAACTGAAAATCTTGCAAAAATCAATTTATTAAAAAAAAATAGAAGTAGCACATGAGGATGTACCATTATACTTGAACAAATATTTATTCTTGTCTTTTTTGAAGAATGTCAGCCAGCAACCCATATACATTCTTCTTGAAACAAATTTTTTCCTCAGTCGTTAGGATATTCATATCCTGTGCAAGGCTTAGGGCAAACTCCCTGTCGATAGATTTTTGCCCCAAATTTGAATTTATAGTCTCTATGCAGGAAGACATCTTGCTGCATAACTCATCTTGGGGAGTTTTCCTTTTTTTCGCTTCCAGGTGGACCTGAGAACTGGGTCTGGCAGTTTTTTGTATCCTAACCTGATGGGGAGATGGGGCCTCTAGGGGTTCCTCTCTTGGGGATGGAAGGGGTGTCAAAAAATCATCAGATTCACTAGGCCCCTCACTTGTTGCCTCTAGAACTTGGGTTAACGTATCCCAAGCAGGGAAAAGTGGCTGCACCAAGGGCTGGACGTTGAAGTTTGACACAGTTCTAGAACAATTCATAACATTACCTAAAGCCTATTGACCTAATTAGGTATTATGTACTTACTTCCTTGTTAGCAAGAACGGATCCAAAAAACTCAGTAAGGTATAATATGGCCAATAACATGGTATGTCTGCACTTCCAGACCCGGATGGGATATCCCTAATTTTCTTCCTAAGGGTCGTATATTTGGCCCTTAAACTTGTCCACCTTTGTTCACAGCTAACAACTGAAAATATGAAGATAATATATAGAGAACATAATGGTTGAAGAACAATAGTACAAACCATCGCTGTCCAAAATAGCAGCAATTGTCTTCCAGGCATTTTCTTTTGCAAGTTTATTTTCGTACCTAGCATCTTTTTTATTATATAATGCCGGAAATTCTTTCACTTGAATAATTAAATTTTCATCATTCATTTTAAATTGTATAAATAAACAATTTAAGCGAAGAACACAAAAAACAAAACAAACCATGAAATGAAACGACTCAACGTCAACTCAATTCCAACCGTCAACCCGACTGTCATGTCAAATGTCCTACGCATGCGCACTTGCATTTTCAAATAAGAATAAAATAAGAAGATAAAAGATAGTCATCTTTCATCTTATTCCTTATTTTTATTTTTATGTTATTTACCCTATAAATGTCCTATGGCTAATGTGTACATTCAACTTTTATGTTATTTTTATCTTATTCTTATCTTATGTTATTTATCTGTATAAATCCACCATAACAAACATCAAAGTTTCAATTAATAAACAAAACTAAGTGCAGACAGTTGTTACAATAATTATTTTTGGATTACCTATTTTTCAGATTTCTTTTATTATGCAATTTTTGATAAAGTTCATTTGAGGATTTGGAACTTAAAATTTAAATCTTCTGGCGCCCACTAAAGACACTCCTTATCCACCCTAATTATGCTCTCTGGCGAACAGCTGCCACTGCAGTACCCTTTTTGTTAAAAAAGAGGCTACATAATTTGACGCCCAATTGTGTGGCTCGAGTGTCTTTAAAAATTTTCTGAAAATTGTAACAACTATCTCTACTTGTTCTCTAGTTTCTTTGACTAAATTATTAACTTATGCCTTTCTGCCTTTGTTCTTTAAATTGGTTTGAGTAGATGACTATTTTTTACCTGCACTCTAGTTTTGAAATTTTTTTGAGTTGAAAATTCAACCTATTATTGAAATGATCCTTTAATTGCCGTTGATTTTAAATTCCAATTTATTACCTTACATGTTTACAGTACCTCTATGTTTACCTTATATATTTGCCTTTTTGCTATTAATAGTTTTTGGGTATTTTGATAGCATTGCTATTTACCTGATTTTGACCATGAATATTTTCCTTTAATTTTTTTGCCTGCCAAACATTTTTATATTGGTACCACATCAATAATACCAGTTCACTGAAATTTTTGATATAAATACTTAAGAGTCCTTACACTGATTATTTCTCTCAATTGAATTTTTCAATTTATTTTTCTTACTCAGTTACTTTCCTATCTATAACTTTATTTTTCTTTCAATATGGCTTTCTTTTCTGTCAATCATCTCTTGGATTACGAACTCGATTACGAGCTAGCCATTAGGTGCGTTGAAACGGTTCGTATTGTAACTGATAAACGTAAAATGCTTACTAAATTATTGAGGAAAGAAAGAAATGCTAATGACCCTGGTTCTCAAGTTCATTTTGAAGAATATGATTATGATTTTAGAACTGAAGAAGCAGCTATCAATAATAGTATATCACAATCCGAGACGGGAAATGCTTCATTACTGGTCGAGAGGTTTTATAGTTTTAAACTGAACCTCGAGACCGCAATGAAGTTTCCCGTCGAGGGTTGTATACTATTTTATTTTTAACCATAATTTCTTGAAAAAAAAAAATTCGGGGCAACCAAATGAGGTCGGCAAATGAAGAGAAAAATGAGAACGGGAAATATTTCCCTGCTCCATTTTCCGTCCGTGGACGGGAAATGAGGACGGAAAAAATTTCCCGTCCTCACTTCCCGTCCTGGGACAGGTAATGGAGCAGGAAAATGAAAAGACAGAAATGTGACATTTTCAAATTTTTGAAAAGTCAGTAATGAGAACATTTCATATATGGTTAAAAATAAAAGTGTTTTTTCTGCGATTGACAAGAAATGTCAGCATTTTTGACCGGTTGACAGGTCGCAAAACTCATTATTCTGGTATTTCAATTATGTTTCAATAGTTGCTAAGGAATCAATGAATAACAATACGCCTAGGCCGGGAAAGTGATTCTCGTACTGCTGAATAATTGGAACCAAAAGACAAACATTTAACAGGTATTTAACCGATCGCAGAAAAAATAGTATGTGTATTTCGGTGGAAAAGCACATTCTCCCTAAATACACAATATACTATTGTCAATTACTGATTTAATTATTGATTTTGAGGGAACCGAGAGTGACTCTTCATATGCTCGAGTTAAATCTAGGTTGATTCATTTAACGGTAGGGTAAATCGGTTGATAATACCTGAGCCGGATGATGATGCTGTTGTTGAAAATTTTAAGAATGAATCTTATGCCACTTGTATTTTGTTGGAATCTGACTTGGACGATAAAGTGACTCAAACTCCGGAAACAGCTAACTTAAGTTTTGTATCTCAACAGGCAGCGCCGATTGTTAATGTGAACCCAGTTCTCTCTTGCAGTTCTAACAAGCAACCCTTATCTACTTGGGGTGTTAAATTCAGTGGAGACCCTAAATTTTTGAACTATTTTTTGGAAAGAGTTTCTGACTTGTCACAGGCTCGTGGTGTGACAGAAGTTGAACTTTTTAATTCAGCAGTTGAGTTGTTTGTTGGAGACGCATTTGTTTGGTTTCGTAGTGTTCGTACTCAGGTCAATGACTGGAGCTCTCTTGTTGTTCGTTTAAAAAAAGATTTTCTCCCTCCATATTCAGATGATGAAGTATGGGACAGTATCAGAAACCGGAAACAAAAGAAAAATGAGACAATTACTATTTTCATTGCCCAGCTTGAGAATCTTTTCAATCGTTTATCTACTCCAGTTGCTGATGTAACTAAAGTCAAGTACATCAAACGGAATTTACTCCCTGAATACATCCAACAGCTTGCCTTGCATCCAATAGACTCTATAGCTACCTTGACAAGTTTGTGTCGAAACCTAGAAGAAGCTGTCTACCTTACCTCCAAAAGATCACAAGCTCTCATATTTCTTATTTGGATGATTATTCTAATACAGACTTGGTTCGAAATTCCCATTCTGGCTTCACCAATCATAATCAGTCAAATAAAAATTCTAATTTTCATAAAAATTCAAATAATAGCCAAAGGCAAAACGTGAACTTTGCCCAAGCTAGTAGTTCCAACTCTGGTTCGACTTCGACTTCTACTTCTCCCAACCTAAACCAGCAGTTCCTTCGGAACAGGGTGGCAATGAGAAAACCCAAATAGTTTGTTTCAATTGTCGGTTGCCCAACCACATGTACAATGCTTGTACACGTAAGACGTTTTGCTTCCGTTGTGGTGAACCAAATGTTAGGATATCGAACTGTCCTAAGTGTTCAAAAAACTAGATTCCTCAATGCCTATTCGTGGTCGTGACACTGACCGGTTTCCTAAATTGGCCACCACTAAATCAAGTTATTTCAATCAGGATGAGTGGAATAAATGGCTTTCCTTTATCTCAAATTTTCATAAGAAATCTATTCAGCCAGCTGAGGCTCTTCCTTTATTTCTTGACAAGTTACCTGATAATAGGCCCTATATTTCCGTCCGAATTTTTGACTATCAGATTGATGCCTTGCTTGATTCTGGTGCTACCAATTCTGTTATAGGAGCTGAAGGATTAGAGGTTTTAAATTTTCTCAAAATTAAAGTATTTCCTATAACCGATAGGCAAATTTTAACTGCTGATGGTGTACAACAACAAGTGAGTGGTGTTGTTGATTTACCAATTTTTATTAATAATTCATGTCAAGTTATTCAAGCTCTGGTTGTACCTTCTGTAACACAGTCTTTTATCTTTGGTAGTGATTTTGCCAGAAAGTTTAATTTGATTTTGGATTTTAGTAACAATAGTTGGGAAATACCAAATTCTATGTCTGAAGCCCGTAATAATTTAAATAATTCTTCATTTTCTTTTGGTAAACTTTTCTCTTTACACGATCTCTCTCCTCCTGACACTTTAAGGGCTCAACGTGTAATTGATTCTTTCAAAAAAATAGATAGCAATGACAGAATTGGCAGAACTGATAAAATTAAGTTAACAATAGATACTGGTGACCATAAACCATTCAAGCGAAGACCACATTTTCTTTCTCCGTATATGCAGGATGTCCTGAATAAAGAATTAGATTCCATGTTGGAGCTTGGTGTTATAAGTGAATCAGAAAGTCCTTGGAGAATACAGGTTCTGTTTTGATGGTCGTTTCCTTAATGATATTAGTAAACACGATTCTTATCCCTTACCTCATGTTGATAGAATTCTGAATAACTTGCGTAATGCCAAGTTTATTTCTGCCCTCGATCTCAGAAAAAGTTTCTGGCAAATCCCTCTAGACGAGTCTTCAAAAGAGAAGACAGCTTTCTCAATTATTGGCAGGGGACGTTTCCAATTTAATGTTGTACCTTTCGGTTTGTGCAATGCTGCACAAACTCAGCAAAGACTGGTTGATGCTATCTTTGGTCCGAAATATGAACCTTACATTTTCTCTTACCTTGATGATATTTTGATATGTTCCCCTACCTTGGATCATCATTTGGACTTACTAGCAACTGTTAAAAATCTTCTAGAACAAGCTGGTCTCACGATTAATTTGGAAAAATGTAATTTCTTTCAAACATCCCTTAAGTACCTTGGTTTTATTGTTGGTAACAATTCCTCAGCTACTGATCCGTCAAAAGTTGAAAGTATGGTTAATTATCCCCGTCCTGAAAACACTACAGAGGTTAAACGTTTCATAGGTATGTCGATGGTATTTTGGCAAAAGGGCGAAAACGCCGTTTTTGTAATTTTACAGGAGAGGCTAAAAACATTTTTAAGTACACTGTGTAAACGACATAAAGTTTTGAGGTTTATATTTCTTCAAGGAGTATAGGAAAACACTTTCAAATGCTATTTTTCGACATAAACCAATTTTTCCATGAATAAAATAGAAAAATGTGTAAATTCGTCCTTTTGCTATTATTACTTATTAGTCTGTTGTGTATTAGCCCTAACATTCGCCCTTCTACCTAGTTGTGTATTGTCAGTTCGTCCTTTTTGCTTTTATAAAACTATAGGTTAGGGGCGAGCTTAGGGGTAAAGAAAGGGACCTGATGGGAACTGAAAACAAAATGAAAACTGTAGTAGCAAAAGTTGAAAATAAAATTGTATTCCTACAATTCAACACATTTTTAGTTTTGTTATCTTATCGCAGATTGTAAAAAATAAACTTCAATTCTTATGACCTAGAATAATTATTTTTGTACTCCACAGTCTTACAGTCTCACTGGTTATTTTATCGCAGTTAAACTTTTTAAAAAAATCCTTATTCTTAAAACAAAATAAAAAAAGTATTCTTCAAGTTATCGTTAGAGTTTATTCCTTGTCACCTAGAACCTGAAAATCGAAAATCAAAAATAAGTTTAGAAATTACCAGGTCATTTTATTTACCTCGTCTTCTTCATCTGTCTCCATTAGACAATGAGGTACTGTTGGTTTGGTTGGTAGAGTTAAATATTGGTGTTGATACTCTATTGGAATTACATTTTTTGTGCATAAATTTTTCAGTCCTTGATACTTCTCTGTGGCTATAGGTAGTCTCGCATTATAAGCTTTTCCAATGGTTATGTTGTGGTTAACAGAGGTTCTCGTCTCTTTTTTTATGGCTATTTTAGACATTTCGTTCCGGAAGGATGACGTAGACACATGAATATAATTAGGATCCTCTTTTTCAAACATAATTAGACGTACATCCCTAAGTTTGATGGTGGATCCATCTTCTTTTCTTAAATTATTCGTAAATGTCTTCATTTGTAGTGTTTTCCAGTCAAGAAAGTCTTTATAATTGAGTGTGTGTACCTTATAAGGTGTATATTTTACTCTAGCGTTTCTGATTATTGTTGACCATTCCGAAGGAGCCCAAACAACTTTGTTTCGAATACTGTTTTCTATTGTCCCGTGGACGGAGTCGACTGGCATATAGCTATGCCCTGGAAGTAGAACATTAAGTACTATTTTTTTAACATTTATTGACTTTTTTAAAAACCAATTAAGAGCGCTCATCATTTGGTAGTTCTTGTTTTGTCCAGAACAATTATCACAGTAGAGCAATATTTCAGTTATGCCACCTCTAGCATCCACAGATTCCAGATATTTAATAACAATTGAGCATACTTCATTTGCCCCTTTTTTTCCTTGGGACTCTTCCCAGAGAAAACACTCAACGTTGCGGGTACCACTTTCGTAAAATGTTAAATTATAGACTGCGTATCTACTTGTGAATCCAATTAAAAAATTGTCAACGTGTGGTGTTCCCAGAACTTTCTGCAAGTCGAATGATGTACAGAGAAGACAATTATTATTTTCTTTGGAATTCGACAATCCTTGGTCCTCCAGAAATTTTATCTTCATCTGTTCCTTTTCTAAAATATGGCCTGTAAACTTCTCTGTTTCATCCTCCGAATGAGGGCCTATAAGTCTGTTAAACTGCTCACATAAAACAGACTTGTCTTTCCTAGGTACATGAAAAGTCATATTAAATTCATCGTGAAAATTTTTTTTGAAAACAGCTAAACTAACGAATGTTTTATTTTCCTTTTCTTGATATGTTTTGTATAATCTGTGCAAATTTGTTACATTTTTTAATTCGCTTGGCAAATACTTCCTTGTGCTCTGTTTCCGACAATAATGAGAGGGTACAGCCGGTAGCATTTTGATAAAGTTAATAACATCAGTCCTTACATTAGCTGCAGTTTTATTTTTAGGTGGGTGTCTACCTCTCCGATCTACTTGTACTTGAGACATTGAGACTATTTCATTCCGGTGAAGTTCTGTATACCGAAGAAGCTTATCAGTAACGTCCAGAGTATTCATGAAAAATTTTCGGCAAACTTTTACTCTTTCATTCAATAAAAGTAAATAGTAGCCTCTTGTAAAGTCTTTTCTACTTTCTGCGTTGCCAACACGGCGTCTTTTCACCTCTCGAACCGTTATATTAGATGCAATAAAGTCGCGTTGTCCCTGGTAAGGTAAAGCCCAAAAAGTTTTAAATAAGCTTGCTCTGGTTTCTTCATCAAAGTCTCTGCACTTATTCGGACACTTCCCTATCAAGCAAGTGTGCGACTTAACTTGTCTCTCTTTTTTCTCTAATCCTTTGGATGTCACATATTTTTCACCTCTGTTTCGTTTTACCTTTTGTGTCTGCCTTTTATTAACCTTTTTCCGTTTTCTTATGCCATAAGTACGACACTCGTCAATAACTGTTTCTTCGTTCTTGTCGCTTTCTTCAGTATTGGTCTCTGATTCTAGGCTTGTGTCTGAATTAATAGCATTCATTTCTTCTTCAGGAATAAATTCTGAACCATCAGTGCTGGACTCAGAAGATGACCTTACTCCAGGTTCCTCAAAAATGTTATTAACTGGCTGTAACTTATTAGTAACTTCATTTACAGGCACTGTAGGTACATTATTATGAGAAGAAGGCTCGAAAATAATACCGCTTTGGTTTTCTTAATTTTTTCCTAATATTGTTAGGGAAATTGACCCATTTGCATCAAGTATATCGATGTCTAATTCATCTATTAGACTCTGTGACAGTCCGAGGTCAAGACTAGATGTAAGAATATTAAAATTTGTGTCATTTTCTATGAATGCATTTGCACTTTCTTCTTGCCCTTCCCATGCCAATTCAATATTGTTTTTTGTTCCATTTGTGTCACTTTCTATAAATTTGTTTGCACTTTCTTCTTGCCCTCCCAATGCCAATTCAATATTGTTTTTTGTTCCAATTGTGTCACTTTCTATAAATTTCTTTGCACTTTCTTCTTGCCCTCCCAATTCAATATTATTTTTTGTTCCAATTGTGTCACTTTCTATAAATTTCTTTGCACTTTCTTCTTGCCCTCCCAATTCAATATTGTTTTTTGTTCCATTTGTGTCACTTTCTATAAGTTTGTTTGCACTTTCTTCTTGCCCTCCCAATGCCAATTCAATATTGTTTTTTGTTCCAATTGTGTCACTTTCTATAAATTTCTTTGCACTTTCTTCTTGCCCTCCCAATTCAATATTGTTTTTTGTTCCATTTGTGTCACTTTCCATAAGTTGGTTTGCACTTTCTTCTTCCCCTCCCAATGCCAATTCACTATTGTTTTTTGTTCTATTTGTGTCACTGTCTTTAAATTCATTTTCACTTTTTCCTCTCCCTCCCAATGCTAACGCCATAATTTTTTTCGTTCTATCGGACATCGTCATGGTGCGGATCTAGAATAACAAATTTGAGTTAGCAAAAGGGCGAATATCCTCATTGCAACTAAGCAGAAGGACGAACGTGCATTCATATAAATGGAAGAAACGGCGAATATGCCATTACTCCGATGAATTCACAGAGAAATCTCTACACTACATCTAGTTTATATAAAGAGTAATCAAATACATTTATTTAACTACAAAATAAAGAGATTTTCACTTACCAAAGACAAAATGTGCTCTCACCACCATCATAACCTAGACTGATTGTCATCCTCGTGGGCTCCCTTCCCATCAAATTCATACGTACGTTCGTCCTTTTGATGCCATGTTAATTGTATATTCGCCCAGTGCTCCTAAAGTTTTTTTTAAATAAAATGTTTATTTTCAAAGTTATCAATTCGTCCTTTTGGTAAATCGTGTAGGATGTTATATTTTATCCGAAAACGTATTAAGCTCCATTCTATAAAAATTGGCGTATTCGCACTTTTGCCAAAATACCATCGATGTGCTCATGGTACAGAAGATTCATTAAGGACTTTTCCTCTCTTGTCAGTCCAATTAATTCACTTGTAAAGGGTAGAAAGAAAAAACAGGCTATCTCCTGGAATGAGGAGGCTGAGAAAGCTTTTCTCACCATTAAAGAGAAACTCGTTTCCGCACCAGTTCTTTCTCAACCTGATTTCTCCCAAGAATTTGTTGTTCAAGCGGACGCTGCTGACGTAGGTTTAGGGGGTGTTCTGACACAAAATGTGGATGGTGAAGAACGTGTAATTGCTTATGCTAGCAGAGCTTTGACTCGGGCTGAGCGTAACTACTCTGTCACTGAGCGTGAATGCTTAGCAGTGATTTTCTGTATAGAAAAATTTAGACCTTGGATTGAAGGGGTTCGTTTCACGGTAATCACAGACCATTACAGTCTTCTTTGGTTGAAAAATTTGAAGAATCAAGCTGGGAAACTCGCTCGTTGGCTTATTAAGCTTAGACAGCATACCTTCGAATTGGTACACCGAAAAGGTGCCCTAAATGTTGTGCCAGACGCTCTCAGTCGTATTCCTCATTCTTCGCTCGATTCTGATGTTCAAGTCCAAGACGATTGTAAACCATCTACATCTGGTAATGTACCTCAAATTTCTGTTTTATCTTTCGATCTTTCTGAAGCCGATCCCTGGTATATTTCTTTGCGTTCTAAAATTCTTGAATCTCCAGAAAATTTCCCTCAATGGAAAGTGGAGAATCTTATGGTTTATAAATTAATTCCTTCTAAGTCTTACTATACCTTCAATAATCGTGAATGGAAAATTTTGGTACCTAAAAGTCATCCTAATAAAGTCCTGGACAATTGTCATAATCCACCTACCTCTGCCCATTTCGGTTTTCGTAAAACTCTATATCGTGTTCAAGAGTCATATTACTGGCCTCATATGCGTTCTGACGTTTTAGGTTTTGTCAAAAAATGCTTGGTCTATGGAGCACAGAAGCATTCCAATCGTGCTAAGCCAGGTTTCATGGGTAAAGAAAAGGTAGCGGAACGACCTTTTCAGATAATTGCTCTGGATCTCATTGGTCCATTTCCTCGTAGCAGAAAGGGTAACAAGTGGCTTCTAGTAATTTCAGACTGGTTCTCAAAATTCACTCTAATTTTTCCTCTTAAGAATTCTAAGTCACCAGCAATTATTAAGTATCTTAAAGACGAAGTTTTTCTCAACTATGGAGTTCCTGAATATCTCATCTGTGACAATGGTCCAAATCTTGTTAGTAATTCTTTCAAGCAGGTCTGTAAAGATTTTAACGTTAAACAATGGTATACCCCTGTTTATTCACCGCAATGTAATTTTGTTGAAAGAACAAACAAGACCATTGGTACTGCCATTCGGTGTTATATCCAGAAACATGAAGATTAGGATATTCACATTGCTGAAATTAGACCAGCAATTAATACCTCTGTCCACGAAGTTACTGGTTTTCCTCCTTGTTATTTGAATTTTGCCAGACATGTTCCTCTTTCTGGAAATTTTTATTCTGAGTATCCACATGATGAAATGGTAGAATTGCTTCCTGGTGATAGAGACAATTATGCTAGGGAACTTGTTGATTTTCGCAAATTATTTCTTGAGGTACGTCAGAAATTTCACGCAGCTTATGAAAGGAATTCTAAGTCCTGTGTGCGCCGAAGACCTTTGAGTTTCAAAGTTGGAGATAGAGTTTGGCGTCCTAATAAAGTTCAGTCTAGTGCAGCGAACAAGTTTGCAGCTAAGTTAAGCCCTAAGCATATTCTTAGTGTGGTTGTAAAGAAAGTTTCCACTGTGGCCTATGAACTAAAAAACATAGATGGTTCAAGGGCAGGCAAATGGCATGTAAAAGATTTGTTAGCGTGCAATGATGTTGGTTCTGAAAATTCAGATGCTGATTCGTCATCTGATACCTCTGAGGAGACCTAAATCTCCAAATTAGTTTAACTTCTACCTCCATTTCCTATTAAGACCACATTTCTCATTATCTCTACTGAACTGCCTTTTGCTATTGAATTCTTGTTCTCTTTTTCAAATTTCCTCTGTCTCGGGCATGACTCCCTCTCGCAACGCAGAAGTAGGCATAGCTTTAAAGTGCGTTAAAGTTGCAAGGTATATGGAGTTTCCATTAAAAAGCCTTGTCGTGGCTATAATTACCAGTCGTTTTGTTTTTTCGTTTTTATTAGGTATTATTTGGCACGCCTTAAAGTAGCATTAAATAAAAGCAAGGGTTTGAAGTAAAAGCTTCATGTGACGCCTTGTCGTGGCATTGTGCTAGTTTTTTATTATTTGGTTTAAATTATTATTTTGGTAATTGCCTTAAAGTGGCGTTAAATTAATGCAAGGAATGTGAAAGAGTCCCAGAATAAAGCCTTGTCGCGAGCAATTATTGCTGAAACTGAAAGACAGATAGAGCCATGCTCTATTCTTTTTTTGTATACCTTAGCACCTGTTTCTTTCTCTTTTCTACCTCAATTATCTATCTCTACCTTATTTTATCTATCTCTACCTTATTTTATCTATCTCTACCTCATTCTGTCTATCTCTACAATCTCATAAGAAGCCACATAGCTTTGCTCTTTTGGCATTATCTCTGGAGATTGGTTACCTCAGTTTGATTCCTTTATTTTAAGTATCTAAATTTTACCTCTTGGAATCATAGATACCTTAACATTTTTTACCTCAATACAGTCGCGTATATTTGCGGACTTATTTAAATATTACCTTTAAGGATTTTTATATTATTACCTCAACATTCTGATCCTGGAGTTGTCTCAGAATTATCACGTTAAGATAAGTTCTTTGGACGTTCAATTCACTTGTCTGTTTTTACCATTTTACCTATACCTATCTCCATTTACCTTCAGACAAAGTGTATTTTCAATTGCATAACTTTCTGCAAATTGTGTAACCTACGAGTCCATAGGAACTATCTGAAAGTAGTTATGATGCAGTGGGTTGTAATTGTAAGGTGTACATATAGTGTAAATATCCGTGACAATATTTGAGCATCACTTTTTCACGTCAACTTTCTTATTAGTAATACTTTCATTTTTCCTCCGTTTCTCCTGTCAATGGACTTACCAAATCTGTTTTTTGTCTAGAACTATGTTCTGTTTCTTTACCTTTAGTAGACCCCTACTGATTTGAGATTTTCCCGATAATGACCTACCAATTGTGACTCCTTTTATAAGGCGAGTGATACGCGTAAGTTATCATGACTAAAGGCAAAGATAATAAATAATACAGGACAATAAAACAAATTTATAACTTTTAGGTTTTGACAAAGTGCATATTTCAATTCTATTGTTTCATTGATTTGTACATTTCGGTTATCGTCTTTGTTAGATAATGTTTTTTTAAAAAAAATAGTCATCTGCGATAACTCTTTTTTTTTTAAGGAGAAGGGTAGTGTAGAGTTTGAAAGCTACTTCGTATTTAGTTGTGAATTTTATTTAAAAATGTCTTGGAACAGCAGGTTGTACAGTACCGTTGATGACGTAGCTTAACTGTTGAAATGTATTTTTACCAGACAACCTCTCTCAGTTGTAACCTTGATTTTGCTATTCGCCAAATTTAATATTGTTTTCACCTGATAATCTTAAACTGTTTATTATTATTATTATTGTTATTTTGTAAGATTATTGTGCAATATTTACAATGTTACCGTTTAAGGCTATATTTGAGGTTTAATAATGAGATGTAAATAATTTTAAGTTAAGTTAATGTTGTATACAGGCCCTTAGGTTTGTTGCTAAATTCATGCTTCGAATGTCATGTCATTCCTTCCTGTCGTTCTCCAAGCCACTTTCACAGAACATATCACCTCTAGAAAAGTATCTGCAATGGTATGTACCGGTTATGAATTACGGCGCCCTCGTTGACTGAAAACCCAACTAATCGAGTATTCTTGACAAAAAGGCGAATTGATTTTTTTCATAAATTTTTATTATTTTTGTATAATTTTTAATGTTCAACTGCATTTGGCTTGCTGACTCCTCTTAGCTCTTTTCGCCTCATTTTTTTAAAAACTATGACTGGCAGGCAGTTTCCGATGTCGAACATAGTGCAAAAAGAGTTAGTAAGTTAGCAAGAGACACGCAGTTATAGGTAGATCGCAAAGTAAATATGAATAATAAATACAAATACGAACCAAACGAAACAAACGAATAAATACAAAAAAATACGAACAAAAATTAGGTTTTTTTTCAACCAAAACTTTTTGAATTTTCACTTTAACGCGCGTGGAAACCGTGGGGTACAACAACACAATTTAAAAATTCAAATTTTGACTTTTAAAATGACAAAATAAATGACAAAACCAACCAACACAAATCACTGTCCACACCACAGATACCTGTAAATTTCTCTTATCTCCCGACAGTGTCGCCATCGTTGAATGAAAACCTAACTAAAAACCTTTGTCGCGATTCTTCCGTTTGAGATATTTTTCTATAGGTGATATGTTCTGTGCTCCAAGCCACTTTTCTGAAGGTGCTCGGA